GTTGAGGAAGGAGATGTGCGCCACGTCGTCCGACGGCTCGACGAGGTCGGGAGGGCAGGCGGGGGGCGGCGCGCCAGCCTTGACGGCGGCGCTGCAGGCGGCCTCGTGGGCGGCAAGCTTCTTCTTGCGCTCCTTCTCCTCCTTCTTGCTCAGCACGGGCGCCTCGGACACGGCGCACTCCCACCACCCGTCGTTGAAGTGCATCTGGACCGGCAGCCCCTCCGGCAGCTCGGACAGAGACGCGCCCTCCGCCACCAGAGGGGGCGCCGGCCGCACGCATGCGCGCGGCTGCCACTCGACGAGGGGGACGCCGTCGGTCTCCTCGAGCGCGGCGTACCGCAGCTGCACCATCCCCGGCTCGGGCCCGCCCTCTGCCGCCAGCAGCGTCGCCGCGTACCACGAGCCCTTGAATCCCTCGTCGGTGGGGCCAACCTCGACCGAGTCGCCGGGAGAGAAGCGTGTCTCGTGCGTCTCGTCGGGCAGCGGGGCGAGGGGGGTGACGAAGGGGGCGGGGCCGCCGTCGCCGGCGAAGCTCCACACGCCGTCCACCTACCGCAGCAAGATCTAGTTGTTCACTCATCACCAATCATCTTCTCATTCAGCTCCACACGCTGTCCACCTGCCGCAGCAGCACTGTGGCCGCCTCTGGCGCCGCCTCCGCCACCGCCGCCTCGAGCGGGGAGGGCCCGCCGCCGGCCGCGTCGGCCGCGTCTGCGGACAGCTCCACCTGCCTGCGGAGCTCGGGCTCTCCAGCGCCGGCGCGCAGGACGAGGAGCGCCGCGCCCGACGCGCCGGCGCGGTGGCGCACCATCGAGTACTGCGGCGCCGACGCCGTGCCGCCCACTCTCCATGCGGGCCGCAGCTTGGCGGCGGGCACGTCGAGCAGCGCTCGCGGCTCGGTGCACCGCACGCGAAAGAGCTGGTCGGACCCGTCTTCGGGCGGGAGGGCGACGCTCTCGAGGATGACGGGGAGCCAGTGCGCCCCCTCGCCGTCGTCATGCACCGCCTCCACCATCTCG